CCTAGACTCTCGGAGCGCGTTGGGCCTCGCCAGGGAGAGTCAGCCCTGCTCGGCGCGCTCGGCTACAGGACGGCGAGGTCGGGCCTACGCTGCACCTGCCGGCCCAGACCACTTTTTCTGGTTTCACTTAACTGAATCGCTTCACCCTCATCAGAGCAGCATGTTCACCATTCACAACAGCGCTGTCACCGCGTACAGTGACGGAGACTGCACAGACAGCAGGATGCCTTTTCAACCTGAAATAAAACCGCTTTTTGAATGTTGACAGAATTGCGGCTGAACGGAGATGTGATGTATTTCAGCTGACTTGGTAACTACTGAAGCGTTCCGTTTAAATTCCGTTTCAATTAGGATGGTGGTTAGTGAAATCCGTCATAAAATCTTTTGTGGTTTTTAGCCTTTGTGAAACAACTTACCGATATGTAAAAAATCTAGAAAAATAAATAGGTACAAAGGCATTGTTATTTTCTCTCCTAGCTAACCAAGGGAAGCCTATATATCTATATGGCTTGATGATGGCAGGACGACAGACTCATTTCTCCAAGGAGCAGTTTTCTTCTTATAAGGGAAAAAGCACTGCATCTGAATGAGATCATCTAGAAAAGCCCTCCTTCCTGAAAAGTACTATATTCTTGCTCGTTGCCTAGCTACGTGCGGCTGTTACCTTAGAAGGCTGCAGATTCATCTGAATGATCCTGGTGGTGCTGATGTGTTTGAGCAGAGGAGTAATGCAAAAATATAACCCTTTCTTTGGTAAAGATTATGAAAGGATTATGCAGAGGGAGGGGTGAGTGTGAACAGAAAGAGCCTTTGCAGAAGAGAAATTTAGTGTGTTCATCATATTCCTTCTGACATTAACTGTTGAATAAAGATCATTTCCCCCTCCGAGTCCTGGGTGTATGTGCAGGCAGTGAAATCACAGACTTGAGGCTTTTGACGTGAGAGTCTGATGCCAGGGAAGCGTTTGCCTGGTTAATGCTAATTACTGCTGTGAGTAAGCGTTGAGAAGGGATAAAGACTGTCAAGGCCTGATTCTGATCTCATTTCCAACACCGCAAACCAGTAAAATGCCATGAAAGGCAAAAATGTTGCCGAATTTCATTTTTGCCAGAGAATGAGATGAACACTGAATCTCTCTTTAAATATAAGCAACTTCAGTAATTTGGAAAATTAAGAAAGACTATTTTAAATGCCTAAGACCCAAAGATTTACATTGTAACGTGCCTGTGAAAGGAACCTCTGACAGGGAACTCTGCCCTCAAGCACGAGATGTGCAGCCGAGTTTGAGAGTGTGAGCAGCAAGCCCCTGGCACTTCCCCAACGCGACCCGCAGCCCGGCAGGGCTCTGCCTCACGCAGGACTGCGGTAAGCTGGCCTTTGCTAGATTTGGCACCCAGCTATTGCTTTTGGGAGTGACAAGATGAATGGAGAAATCAACTTATTTCATGTCTGCTTCACTGCACCTGGTTTGGATGTAGAATAGTTTTGATATGGGTCAAGACTAGGAAGTTTTATCTTTAGGACCTAGAGAATTTTAGCACTGGAGTTTTGATTGAGCTTATTTCAGTCAGGGCTGGCTTTGAAATTAAGATTTGCATTTGGGTTGTGTCATTTCTTTTATAAAACATTTTTTCCATGTCTGCACTGTCCTATGGCCCTCTTTATACAAGGTACACATTTCATACCTCAGTTCACACTTGTGTTTGCTCTCCGTATTTTATCACGAGTATGGATCTTGATCAGTTTAAAATTTTTCTAGAGAAAAATGGTAGATAATGAATCTTATTATTACTATCATCAGCATTCTTATCACACTCTTT